CCGCAGAGGTGAGTGGAATGGGAGGAAGGGTTCCTCAGCCGCACCCCCGACAGGGCTCCTGCCGGAAAACTCACTCCTTTGAAAGCAAAGCTCCAAGTGACACACAGGGTTTGGTGAGGTTGACTCTTTCTGTTTATGAAACCACGAGACGCCACCAGGTGAACTCCCCGGGGCCCAGGTTAACTGCGTGCGGCCAAAGCCGCCTTTGACCTCACGGGCCTAGTTCACTTCTCAGTCCTTTTCACTTAGTACAGGCCTCTCTCATACAGCCCTCATCTTTGTGTTAAAATAATTTGTTCTGAGTTCCTACCTCCCTCCTCCCCTGAGGCTGTATACCAGGAGCCAGAGTGTTTATTTTGTTTGGTTTTGTTTTTCCCTTAAATAAAGCTGGCAGCATTTAAAAATTAAGAGCTTTGAGGTAACCACTTGAATCTCCTTGAACCGCTGGAAGACCCAGCGTTGCTGGGCCCACATCCCATGCGGCAGCTTGTCCTGGGGCCCGTGGGTGTCCTCTGTGGCCTCCCTGTGAGGGTGAGCTCAGCAGGTGGGACTGTCCCCACCTGCTCGGCCTGGAGTTTGGGACCCCTTTTCAGTCATTTCTTTCTGGTAGAAAGATACACAAAAAAGCATCAGCCATTGCATGGCTTTTCTGTGGCCGGTTCCCTGTCAGAGGCTGTGCACTTTATGGCCTGTCACCAGTCTCCCTGTCTCTGCCCTGTCGGCACCACCGTTACCTTAGGCCTCATCCAGTAACTCCTGCCCATGGCACCACCTCCCCGCTTCCTGTCAGGAGAACCCAGATGTTAGTTTTTTAGTTTCCAACCATCTACAAAGTGTTCATTTCCCAGCACAGGATAGAAATGCATTCCTGGACAGATGTGTACCTGGAACTCACAGGGAGCCAACTCCGCCGTCGGGGTGCTTGCTCTCACGAATGCCATGCCCTCCTGTGGGGATACATCAAGGTCCAGGACTCGCCGGCAGGGTGTGCACTCGGAGTGCCCGCTCCCAGGCCGTGGTTGGCAGGAGACACTACCTCAGAACCACCTGGTGGGCTTGTGGACACGCAGGTTGCTGGGCCCCAGGCCTGGGGTGGGCCTGAGCTGCGTGATCAGGTGGCCGCGAGGATGCTGGTGGGGACTGCCCTGTGTGAAGGACAGCAGCCCAGATGCCATCCACTATTGTACCCTCAGGAGCCCCGCCTGTGCACTGCTTAAGTGCTCAGCTGCTAACCCACAGATTGGCCTTGTGAACCCACCAGTTGCTCTACAGTAGAAAATGGCAGCCTGTTTCTGAAGATTCCAAACCAAAGCAAACCTGTTGCCTTTGAGTTGCTTCCAATTCAGGGTGACCCAAGAAGGCAGAGGAGAACTGCCCCACAGAGTCCAAGGCTGCAGTCTTGCAGAAGCAGTCCTATCTTCCACAAAGTAGCTAGTGTGCTCACACCGTCAACCTCTCGGTGCGTAGCTGAGTGCTTTAACCACTGCACCACCAGTGCTCTCCGTAAAGATTACAGCCTTGGAAACGCAATGGAGCAGTCCTGCTCTGCCCTGTAGGCTTGCTCTGTGCTGGGATTGACTTGACGACAAGGGGTTTCCGGGTTGTATTCCTGTACTTTGAATATTCGTGGCTCATACCAGAGTCACCGAGTCTCCCTAAAACACTAATATCTGGTTCTCCTAACAGCAAGCGGGGAGGTAGTGCCATGGGCAGGAGTTACTAGACAAGGCCTGAGGTAACGGTGGTGCCGACAGGGCAGAGACAGGGAGACTGGTGTCACCGAGTCCACTCTGACTCGTGCACCTCCACGTGGGTCAGGCCCACCCGCACTCCGCTGGGTTTCCAGTGGCTGATTTTTCCAAAGAAGAGGGATAAGCTGCCTTCCGAGGTGCCTCTGAGCAGACTCGAACCCCTAGCCTTTGGTTAGCAGCCAAGCATGTCACTGTTTGGTGGCCCTCAGTAAGTGTCTGCATTGCGAAGTCGAGGATTGAAGAGTGTCCACGTCACAGCCTCAAATGTTGCTTTCTCCACCGTGTAGGCTGAAGGTTTTTTTGTGACAGGTCCAGACATGACCTGGGAGACAGGTTCGTTTAGTTTTGCCCTGCTCATCTGTGTTCATTGGTGTTTGCTGTCACACAGCAACTTGCTGGGAACAGCTTGCCTAGATGAACTCTTGAGGTTTTTATGCCTAATTTGTAAACACTGTCAGACCGCAGTGCTTCCAAAGAACTCTGGCGCATTCCTAAGAGGTGAAGTGGCGTGTGACTGCCAATTCTTCAGTCCCCTTAGAACTCATAACCCTTCACTTACCGGCAGGGCTTCAAACTGATTTGAACAGGTTCAATCATGGGCAACATAGTGAAATCAGAAGAGTTCCAGACTTTTAAAATTTAGGTGAAGTGGAATGGTAACCGGAAAGGGAAAAGTTATGGGTCTGCTTGGAATGGGAGACTTGGAAGAGGCATCGTGAACCTTTTTGGGATCCTGATGCGGGGGATTAGATAACGACCAGGGCTGTGGAGAGTGACACATATTCACAATGGCATGGTCAGCTGCCATCTTTGAGCAGGGCACTGCTCTTACCAACTCTGCCAATCAAGAGAGTTGGTTGCTATGCAATTCACACACTGCCTTTGTTTTCTAAGAGGGAGATTAAGTTCGCAGCAGGGAGCCTACCCATAATTTTTCCAGTTCTGGTTATCTTTCTGGTTCATACATATTTTATCTACTGGGTCCATTCTGATTTCACTTTGTCAGCCGTGACGGAACCAGGAAGAACAGTTTGAAGCCCTGCCTATCAGTAGGGGCTAGTGCTGACCCATTTGAAAGCCTCTGTGCAGGTGAGAAAGGGAAAGCATTAGAGGAAACTCCCCTTCTCCGTTCCTTCCCGGGGCCTGCATTTTCCCTGTTGTTTGCCTCTGGGGGTGGGGCCTGCCTGTGGGTCCCTGAGCCGGCACGCTGTGGTCGGCAGCCTGGCATGATTCCACTGGGTGCCATCTGCCCTCAGGGAATCCGCATTTTGGCCTCACCTGTTAAAATGGAACCACCTGGGCATAGGTGAGAGGGGTGCAAGGACCTTTCTGTTGGAGTCCATTACTCAGGTGTGAACCCTGTGAACACACCAGGGAGCACCCAGTTCAGCTCTGTTCTGATTTCACTGGGTTGGCCGTGCTACTGGTGCCAGGGCAGGTTGCCTGGAGCATGAAGTGGTCATTCAGCAGTAGAGTTCCCACCTTCCACGCGGGAGACCTGGGTCTGTCTCGGGCCGATGCAGAGGCACCACCCGTCTGCCAGTAGAGGTCAGCGTGTTGCTGGGATGGTCAGCAGCTGTCAGCAGAGCTTCCAGACTAAGATGGGCCAGGAAGAAGGTCTGGAAATCAATCCCCAGACTCAGCCTGTGAGCCCCATGGATCCCAGTGGTCCAATGCCAGGAGTCGGGGCTGTCTTGACGGCCACTAACAACGGCCACCAGCACCTGAGGCAACTGCACACTGGCTCTTCTCTGGGATGGCCCATTGCCCAAGGGAGATACTTTCAGCCCAACAAGGAGGACACACGTAGTTATCCTATGCAATGTCAATTCAGTAACTGATAGTGTATTCCGACTGTCTCCCTGGCGCCTCTCATTACATTCACAAACACTCTCGGAGCTTAATTGTTCTTAGAATTTCACAGGTTACTTGTGATAGGAATTGTGTTTGCTGTGATGTGTTTAATTGGTCTTTGATGTAACTTTTTGATTTTAAACACTGTGTGTTTCCTTAAACAAGCTATAAACTGATTCATGATCCGGCAAATTGGGTCACGGTCGATGAAAACTCAGGCGCAGTTACCACCAGGAAGCAAATCGACCGAGAATCCCCTCTCGTGAAGGACAGCTTTTACACCATCATCATCCATGCCGTTGACGACGGTGAGTGTTCACCCACATCGGGGACAGTGGGCGTCCTTGCTTCCTGAGGGAAAGCATCGAGGATGAGAGTCTCTGGGGCCAACTGGGAAACACATGGGTCACACCTTGCTTATTCCTGTCTGTCTACGCCAGGAAGCTTTGGATGGTATATCCTTGAGATGGCAAACTAGAGACCAACACCACTGGGGGAGGCGAGTTCTCACGGAGATACAGCAACAACAACAAACCCACTGCCATCAAGCCATTCTGATTCCTAGTGACCCCATAGGACAGAGTAGAACTGCCCCAAAGGGTTCCCAAGGCTATAAATCTGTATGGAAGCCGACTGTCCCATCTTTCTCCCATGGAGTGCTGGTGGGTTTGAACCACCTACCTTTAGGTTAGCAGCTGAGTGCTTTAACCTGTGTGCCACCAGAGGTTCTTAAGAGACCATTCACCAATGAGGAAGCTGCAGTCAAACCCAATATCTTTTTTCTTTTTAAAATCTGTTCCTAAGACAACGTTAGCTCTTTGTCAAGGCCAATGATGTGGAATAAATACTGAGCACAATTTTCCTGGACTTGGGATGGTGTCTAAGCTCAGGCAGATGTGACTGTATGAGATAAACCTGCCATAACCCAGGATGAGTGGTTTTATGAGCACGTTCCAACACGTTCCCACCATCCTGTAGGCTGAATTATTAAACTTGCCAGAACATAAAGTGGAATAAAAATTTCAAATAACTTTAATAATCTTGTTTAAGAAAATCTGTGAACTAAAACCCAGGGTCCTAGTGATATATAGCTGTATGTGCCCTCATGAGGACATTAAATGTGTGTTCTTAATTGGTCCCAACTGAGCAGAAAGAAAGAAGGGGTGTCTAATAGTCTAGGGTTCCATGATTCTACTGCGGATGATTTTGTGACTGGTAAGGTTGGGCAATCCTACTTCCGTAGTGATACTGCCTCGGAAACCCAAGGAGGGGTCGCTATGAGTCGGGGCCGACTCGACGGCACATAACAACAACAACAACAACAATTGTTTTAAAATTAGACTTTTAATTTAAGGTAGTTGTAGATTTGCTCACAGTTGTAAGAAGTAGGAGCCCTCATTGGTGCACATGGATCCCACCCCCTGCTTACCAGAAGGTTGGAGGCTTGAGTCCACCCAGAGAGGGCTCGAAGGAAGGCCTGTCAATCCACATCTGAAAAGCAAGCCATTGGAAGCCCTGTAGAGGGGTGACCATTAGTGGGGGTGACTTGAGGACAACTGCTTAGTTTCTCCCAGTGCTGATATCTTGCAAACTATACATACTATGATGTCACAGACATGACAAGGACATTGACAGTCAAGGTGCAGACTGCTCTGTCACCAAGAGAATCCTGCCTGTGTCCCTCATGGCCACACCCACCCCTCCCTCGTCCCTGCCACGAGGGACATTTGAATGTGTTGGATGAGTCTACATCCTACCTCCTTCTACAAATGAGTGGAGTGGGAGTATTCTATTTGGTTATCTTACCCGGTGTTCTACATTTTCAGAAAGACAAGAATGTGCCAAGCTCAGGTGTGCAAACCTTCTGACTTTGAAGAAGACGTTTGGCTGCTGTAGAGTTAGTTTTCAACACATAGGGATGTTGTGTGACAGTAGGACTGTCCCATGGGGTTTTCATGACTGTACTCTACCGGAGCATACCAGCAGGTCTTTCTCCCACAGAGCTGCGGGGTGGGTTTGAGACCCTGACCTTTCAGTTAACCACGAAACTATTAACTATGGCACTACCAGCAGTCCCATGATAAGGATTTAAAACAAACCAAACCCACTGCCTTCCAGTTGATTCTGCTGACTAAGCAACCATATAGGATGGAGAAGAACTGCCCCATAAGGCTTCCAAGACTTTAAATCTTCCTGGAAGCAGACTGTCGCATCTTTCTCTGCCGAGCAGTTAGTGGGTTGGAGCCACTGACCTTTGGGTTTGCACCCAAGCGCTTTGACTGCTGTGCCACCAGGGCTCCTGTGGTCAGGATGCTGCTCTGTCATTCCAGTTAGGGTTAGAGTCACTGATCTTTCGGTTTGCAGCCAAGCACTTTGACCGCTGTGCCGCCAGGGCTCCTGTGGTCAGGATGCTGCTGGGTCGTTCCAGTTGGCTGATGCTCTTCCGAGAGATTTAGAGTGCTGGTTTCCCAGGGGGTGGTGAACATGCCGACGCACCCTCATTGATCCACATGGCTCATGGCTTTACTGCCCACTGGCATCTGACTGCTAACCAGAAGGTTGGCAGCTCAAACCCCACAGCCACTCCATGGAAGGAAGCCTGGGCAATCTACTTCCATAAAGATTTGCTGCCATGGACACCCAATAGGGGTTGCTATGAGTCAGAATCAACTCAATGGCAGTGAGTTTGGTTTGGTTTGGTTTTTTTCAAGTGTGTCGAATCTCTCACTAGGCTTCCCGCCACAGACGGGTACTGGGACCTTGATGCTGTTCCTGTCTGATGTCAATGACAATGCCCCCACACTCCAACACCCCTACCTGGAGGTCTGTGAGTCAGCAGTGGGCAGGCCCCTGCTTCTGGAGGCAGAGGACCAGGACCTGGAGCCCTACGCAGACCCGTTCACCTTTGAGTTGCACAGCACCCAGGGAAGTGTAGACGACAAATGGAAACTGGGGAAAAACTGGGGTGAGTGCTTGTATTGATCAGGGCTAAAGGAAGGTAACTCAAACAGAATAAGGTGCATGCACACATAAAAAGCCACCAAATGTCAGCTTACCCAGTGTAGGGTCTATTCTAACTTGTAGCAACCCCACAGGACAAGAAAACTGGCCCCACAGGGTTTCCAAGGCTTATACATCTTAAGGGTAGCAGTCTGTCTTTTGGCAGCCTTTTGGTTAGCAGCCAAGCGCTTTAACCACTGTGCCACCAGCGCTCCTTAATATCGGCTTCCAAATCAGACCAAACTCACTGCCATCGAGGTGATTCTAACTCATAGTGACCCCCATTGGGTTTCTGAGGCCGTAAATCTTTATGGAAGTAGATTGTCCAGTCTTCCTTCCATGAAGTGGCTGGTGGGTTTGAACCACCAACTTTCTGATTAGCAGTCAAATCTTAGGCACTATGCCACCAGAGCGCCTTAATAGCATGTAACTGAAGAAACCCAGGCAACCTGTGATTGGGCATTGTGGGGTCTAGGTACCACAGACACCCTGGAAGCCACCTGTCCACACTGGCCTCTGCCTTTCTCTGCGTTGTCCAGTCTAAGACGTTCCTCTCACAGGGGCCAGGTGGCCTCCAGGAGTCCCAGGCACTCACCTGGTGAGAAGGATCTCTTGCATAGAAGGTGGCGGGTTGTAATCACCACCCTGCTAGGCTCTCTTGGTCCTCCAACACTGTGGGTGGGGCTTGAGAGGATGGGCATGCTGATTGGCTGGTTCTGAGCCCACCTCTGGACCCTGTTGGGATCTGACCTTGGCCTTGCTGACTCCACTGTGCTGAGAGTCCAGGAGGTGTGGTGACCAGAAGGTGGAGGAGCAGATGGTGACCAGGCAGCACACTGCTGGCATCCACGACCCAGTCTCTCGGTATTTCCATCGGCTGGGGCTGGAGACGGGCATGGACTGTAGTGATCCTGGCTCTGTTTCCAGCCCCAGCCCAGTGCTAGCCGCAGTGGCGTTTAGGCATCTGCTCGTAGATGAGCCCACAAGTGAGGGAGCGTGGTAAAGGCTCCTGTCCCCTTGCAGGCAGATCTGTGGAACTTCTCATGGTGAGCAGCCTCCCGAGTGGGAATTACTCCGTGCCTCTTTCCATCGGAGACCGGCAGGGCCTTTCCCAGAAGCAGATTGTCCACGTCAGGGTGTGCTCCTGCCTTGGCGGAGTCACGTGTGCCAAATCCACAGCCTTAGGAGCCAGAGCGGGGCTCCGCGTGGGGATGCTGGCCCCTGTGTGCGCAGCCATCATGGTCCTGGCAGGTCAGTGGTTGACAGCTCCTCACCAAGCACAGGGAGGGATTGGGAATCTTCTAAGGGGAGGGGGCAGGTGATGGGGGGAATGATGGACAGGATGGGATGGGATGCCTTGGAAGATCCCAGATTCAGAACAGAGGTTGTCCGCTGGTTAGAATGCCCGCTGGCTGGCCAAGACATTTTCTTCCCTTGAGGTTGCCGTCAGTCAGAACTGACTCTGTTACAGTGGGTTTTTGTTTTTTTTTTCTTTTTTGGTTTAGTCAGCAAGCAGCAGGTCACAGCTGTGGGACCATTAGCCAGCACAGGAAGGGAGCCCTAACCAGCTCCCTCATACCAATTGCTACTGAGCTGATTTGCACTCATGGCGACCCATGTGTGTCAGAGTAGACACACGGGCTCTGTGGGTTCTCGATGGCTTGTTTTTCAAAAGTCCATCTCAGCCTTTTCTTCCAAGGAGCTTCCGGGTGTGCTTGGACCCAGCCTTTGGATTAGCAGCTGAGCGTCCTAGGGTGGCCCTAAGGTTTACAATGACCATGGGGTGGCAATAGGCAGGTACTCTGGTCCCTGGGTGAAGGCTGATGAGGAGACTGTGTGGTATTCCTGGCTACATGCAACCAACAGGTAGTGAGCACCTGTTTGGGCCCAGAACGGTGCTAACGCCTGAGCTACAGAGATGATTGAGACACGAGTTGGCCATGAGTTTAGTGCTGAGTTACACGTGAACAGAACATGATTATTCTATATTGTCGTTGCTGTTACATGTTGTCAAGTGACCCCCGACAAACAAAACACTGCCCAGTCATGCGCCATCCCCACAACCATTGCTGGGTTTGAGCCCATTGTTTCAGCCACTGTGTCAGTGCCTCTGGCTGACAGCCTTCCTCTTTTGCCTGACCCTTTATGTGATGGCCTTCTCCAGGGACTGGTCTCCTCTGCGAACACGTGCAAAGTACTTAAAAGAAAGTCCTGTCATCCTCCCTTCTCAGGAGCGTTCTGGCTGTACTTCTTCCAAGACAGATTTGTTTGTTCTTCTGGCAGTCCATGCAATATTCAGTATTCTTTGCCAACACCATGACTCGAAAGCGTCAATTCTTCTACAGTCTTCCTTGTTCACTGTCCAGCTTTTGCACACATATGGGGCTATTGAAAGTACCATGGCTTGGGTCAGAGGCACTTTAGCCCTCAAAGGGACATCTTTGCTTCTGTGCACTTTAAATGCCCTGATGTGGGTGAGCTTGTCCAATCCATGTTTAGAAATGGACAGTCCATGAGGTTGATGGTAGACTTCTCCCCTTTCTCTTATCACAGTGGCTCTGTTTTCCCTGCTGCGATGCTATTCTTCGTTTGAACCCAAGAGGAACTGCAGCTCCTCCCCATGTGAAGCCGGTGTCCAGACCCTGATGACATGTAATGAAGAGAGCAAAGCCATCTCCACCCAGGTAGCGCACTGTGGGTAGCATGGCGTTTTCCCTAGCTGTGTTGTTGGTTACCACTTACCCCACTGGGATTTGAATAGCAAATAATGGGAAGCAACTACTGCAAAATTCATCCAAAAGCTCATTGAAATTTCTGTAGAGTTCATGTCCGGCAGCTCTCAACTGGGCTGTTTTGCCCCCCAGGGGACATTTGGTGATGCCTGGAGACATTTTTGCTCAACTGGAAGGAGGGAGCAGCTATTGGCAACTTTGGGTGGTGACCAGGGATGTTAGTCTACATCCACAGTACCAAGGACAGCGCCCACCCCAAAGAATGCGCCAGTCCAAGGCGCCAGTATGCCATGTTCAATAGTCCTTGTGTAGGGAGGAGATGAATGTTGCTAGGTGGAGTCGTTTTATGGAAACTAAGAGCTGAGAGTCTGCCTTGGCCTCTTATCCGTGGCTGGGAAGCCAGTCAGAACTTCTCAGTCATTCTGGAAAACCGTCCTGGGGCTGGACTAAGGCTGCTGAGCTCCAAGGAGGCCAGTGGGGAAGGCACCAGGGCCAAGATGTTAGAGCGTGTGGTGGTGCCCTGGGTGCTGTTCCTGGTGTAGGGCTCAGTGGTCGTGCCCCTGGGAAGGAGGAAGTAGTGGCAGAAGGAGAGTGGAGGACAAGCTTGGTCATCGTGCGGCTGAGGCCACATGGGTCGGGGGTAACAAGATGGCACCAATCAGAGATCAGCGATGCCTGAGGAATGGGAGAACGTTGTGCTCATGTAGGGCTAGGAGCCTCTGCTCTCTTCCTGTACCAAGACAAGGCCAAACCAACTGCTGTTGAGTTGATTCAGACTCTTGGTAACCCCTGTGTGCAAGCAGAACTACTCCATTGGGTTTTCAAGGCTGTGAACTTTTGGAATCAGATCACCAGGCCTTTCTTCTGAGGTGGATTTGAACTTCTAACCTTTTGGCTAGTAGTCCAGTGCTTAGCCATTTGTACCATTCCAAAAAAACAAAAACCAAACCCACTGCCATCAAGTCGATTCTGATAGTGACCCCCACTGGGTTTCTCAGTCTTGCTTCTGCAGAGTGGCTGGTGGGTTTGAACCACCAACCTTCTGGTTAGCAGTCAAGTGCCTTAGGCACTGTGCCACTAGAGCTCCTCACCAGAGCTCTTTAAGGGGCTTTAAACAATACCGATGGCTACATCCAACCTCCTCCTCCTCCCTGAGGTGCAGGTTTAACTGGTCTGGGACATTTCACATCTTTAATCATTTTCCTTACCTGAAAAGGTAGCTAAGAGCTGTACCTGCGTCACCTAACACCCTTCCGTGTCTCCCTCTCACAGGCTGGACGCGTCCCCCGCCCGCCATGGGGTCTTTAGGGCGCTGGGCACAGGGAGCCCCAAACCTGGGTGTAGATTTCAGATCTGTGACTTGCCAGTTACAGAGCCTGACCAATCCTCTCTGTCCACGAGCACACGGGGATTAGCAGTGGTCTCTCTCTCGAAGCTTTTCTGGGCTAAAATGATGGACTATACACATAAAGTCCTCGGCACAGGACGGCCTGAGGAGCCCGCGGTCAAGGAGAACAAAATCAGATTGGCCGCCACGTGCATTGGAGCAGGGCCGGGCCCCACGGTTGCCGCATGCGTCGGGACAGAATGAGGCCCCAAGGTCGCTGTGTGCATCGGAGTGGGGCTGGTAGACTTGAACTGCCTACCTTTTGCTTAGCAGTCAAAAGTGTTAATTGTTTATGGTACCCAGGGAATTCTACAAAATAGAATTGTATTGCTGCCTACCCACCAGCCACTCCTTGGAAGGAAGACTGGGCCATCTACTTCCATAAAGATTTACTGCCTCAGAAACCCAATGGCGGTCCCTATGAGTTGGAGTCGACTCGATGGCAGTTTTTTTTTTTTTTTTTTGTCATAGTAATATTATTAACTGTCATCAATATGCGTGTCTACGTAACCACTGATAGCAGTTCTGGTGGGGCAGGGTTAAGGACTAAGCTGCTAACTGAAGGGTCAGCAGTTTGAATCCACCATCGGCTCTACGGAAGAAAAGACATGGCGACATGCTCCCATAAGACGACAGCCCAGGAGGCGCTGTGGGGCAGTTCTACCCTGGCCTATGAGGGGGACTCGACTCGATGACACAGCCACCACCACTGACAATAAGCCATCATGCCTGCATGGTTATCTGCCTGTCCTACGAGATTATACATTCTACATGAACATACGGGCCACACACACTCCTGTGAATACACAGACCGCACACATGCCCAGCCTGCATTCCCTATGTGAATACACAGGCAGCACACACATGCCCAGTCACCAGG